ACAGAACCGGTTCCACAGCACCGGTTCCGCAGGACCGGTACCACAGAACCGGTTCCACAAGCCCGGTTCCACAGGACTGGTTCCACAGGACGGGTTCCACAGGACGGGTTCCACAGAGGCGATTTTCTCCTGCTACTCTCTCTCATTACACTGCTGCTGCTGTTGCTGCTGCTGCTGCTGCTCCTCCTCCTCTTCTTCCTCCTCCTCCTCCTCGTCCATCCCTCTCTGCCCTCCCGCCCTCCTCCATCCCTCGTTGCCGCTACGTCCCCCCGCCCTACATCCCGCATCCCTCCCTACTTCCTCCTCCCCTCTCCTCCCTCATGTCCCTCATCCATCATCGAGGGCCACCCACCCGACCCGTCCTGCCGACCCGACCCGACCCGTCCCGCCCGTTAGGGTCCGCCCGCCCGACCCGTCCCGCCCGTTAGGATACTCGCGTGCCAACTCGATGGCGCATCATACTTTAATGTCCTGCCCGCCCGACCCGACCCGTCCCGCCCGTTAGGGTCCGCCCGCCCGACCCGACCCGTCCCGCCCGTCAGGGTCCGCCCGCCCGCCGGACCCGTCCCGCCCGTTAGGGTACTCGCGTGCCAACTCGATGGCGCACCATACTTTAATGTCCGCCCGACCCGACCCGACCCGCCCGTTAGGGTCCGCCCGCCGAGCCCGTCCCGCCCGTCAGGGTACTCGCGTGCCAACTCGATGATGCACCATTATTTCATGTTCCGCCCGCTCGACCCGACCCGTCCCGCCCGTGAGGGTCCGCCCGCCCGACCCGACCCGTCCGCCCGCCCGCCGGACCCGTCCCGCCCGTTAGGGTACTCGCGTGCCAACTCGATGGCGCATCATACTTTAATGTCCCGCCCGCCCGACCCGACCCGACCCGCCCGTTAGGGTCCGCCCGCCCGACCCGACCCGTCCCGCCCGTCAGGGTCCGCCCGCCCGACCCGTCCCGCCCGTCAGGGTCCGCCCGCCCGACGGACCCGTCCCGCCCGTTAGGGTACTCGCGTGCCATTTTGATGGCGCACCATACTTTAATGTCCGCCCGACCCGTCCCGCCCGTTAGGGTCCGCCCGCCGGGCCCGTCCCGCCCGTTTGGGTACTCGCGTGCCAACTCGATGATGCACCATTATTATACCCGTCCCGCCCGCTTGACCCGCCCCGTCCCGCCCGTCCCGCCCCGACCGACCCCCGCCCGCCGGGCCCGTCCCGCCCGTTAGGGTACTCGCGTGCCAACTCGATGGCGCATCATACTTTAATGTCCCGCCCCCCCCCGACCCGACCCGTCCCGCCCGTTAGGGTCCGCCCGCCCGACCCGTCCCGCCCGTTAGGGTACTCGCGTGCCAACTCGATGGCGCACCATACTTTAATGTCCGCCCGACCCGACACGACCCGCCCGTTAGGGTCCGCCCGCCGGACCCGTCCCGCCCGTTAGGGTACTCGCGTGCCAACTCGATGATACACCATTATTTTATGTCCCGCCCGCTCGACCCGACCCGTCCCGCCCGTGAGGGTCCGCCCGCCCGACCCGACTCGTCCGCCCGCCCGCTGGACCCGTCCCGCCCGTTAGGGTACTCGCGTGCCAACTCGATGGTGCATCATACTTTAATGTCCCGCCCGCCCGACCCGACCCGACCCGCCCGTTAGAGTCCGCCCGCCCGACCCGACCCGTCCCGCCCGTTAGGGTCCGCCCGCCCGACCCGTCCCGCCCGTTAGGGTACTCGCGTGCCAACTCGATGGTGCATCATTCTTTAATGTCCCGCACGCCCGACCCGACCCGTCCCGCCCGTTAGGGTCCGCCCGACCCGACCCGACCCGTCCCGCCCGTTAGGGTCCGCCCGCTCGCCGGACCCGTCCCGCCCGTTAGCGTATTCGCGTGCCATCTCGATGATGCATCATACTTTTATATCCCGCCCGACCCGACCCGACCCGTCCCGCCCGTTAGGGTCCGCCCGCCCGCCGGACCCGTCCCGCCCGTTAGGGTCCGCCGGGCCGCCGGACCCGTCCCGCCCGTGAGGGTACTCGCGTGCCAACTCGATGGTGCATCATACTTTAATGTCCTGCCCGCCCGACCCGACCCGACCCGCCCGTTAGGGTCCGCCCGCCCGACCCGACCGGTCCCGCCCGTTAGGGTCCGCCCGCCCGCCGGACCCGTCCCGCCCGTTAGGTACTCGCGTGCCAACTTGGCGCACCATACTTTAATGCCCGCCCGACCCGTCCCGACCCGTCCCGCCCGTTAGGGTACTCGCGTGCCAACTCGATGGTACATCATACTTTAATGTCCGCCCGCCCGCCCGACCCGACCCGACCTTTCCCGTTAGGGTCCGCCCGCCCGACCCGACCCGTCCCGCCCGTTAGGGTCGCCCGCCCGCCGGGACCGTCTCGCCCGTTAAGGTATTCGCGTGCCAACTCGATGGTGCATCATTCTTTAATGTCCCGCCCGACCCGACCCGTCCCGCCCGTTAGGGTCCGCCCGACCCGACCCGACCCGTCCCGCCCGTTAGGGTCCGCCCGCCCGCCGGACCCGTCCCGCCCGTTAGGGTACTCGCGTGCCAACTCGATGATGCATTCTATTTGAATGTCCCGCCCGCCCGACCCGACCCGCCCCGCCCGTTCGGGTCCGCCCGTTCGGGTCCGCCGGCCCGCCGGGCCCGTCCCGCCCGTTTGGGTACTCGCGCGCCAATTCGATGATGCATTCTGTTTGAATGTCCCGCCCGCCCGACCCGACCCGGTTCCGGGGAAGCGGTTCCGGGGAAACGGTGCACCGGGGAAACGGTCCAGGGGAACCGGCTGCGGGGAAACGGTTCTGGGGAACCGGCTCCGGGGAAACGGATCGGGGGAAACGGTTCCGGGCAAGCGTTCCCTGGGAAACGGAGCCGGGGAAACGGTCCCGGGGAAACGCTCCTCCGGGGAAGCGGTCCCCGGGGAAGAGGTCTCCGGGGAAATGGTCCTCCGGGGAAACGGTCCCGGGGAAGCGGTTCCGGGGAAATGGTCCCCGGGGAAACGGTTTCGTATCCCTTTTACTCTTCATCGTTATGCCGATCGGCGCGGGCCGTCGCACCCCCCATCCCCCCCCCCCATGGAGTAGATCTTGGCTGCTTCTGGCGCCCGTTTCGACCAGGTGGAATCTCCCCCCCTAGGACGCACTGCTGCAAACAGTCGCACGGAGCCGAGGTCCGGAGCCAGAACCCCCCTCCCCCCCCTTCGTTCGACCCCATGTCGGAACGCCGAGTCAGAAAACGTTCACTATGGGTGCGTGGTGTTGCTCGTTCGTCATATCTTGTATCTCGCCGAGCGGCACCAGCACTGGTGCCGAAAGAGTGGTGTGCCCCACCGCCTCTTCGCCTCGGCCATCGCGGGCGGCGGGCGGTGCTGCCAGCCCGCCAGGAGTTTCACCGCCACGTCTTCGCCCAGCTCGGGGGCAACGACAGGGGGGATAGGCACAAGGTGGAGACATTAGCCTGAAATATAAGTCGGGCATGTCCCTCTACAGGAGGAATATCCAAAAAGAGTCCAAAAATAGTCTGGGGACGATGTTTCGATTATTTCTTGACGATCTTCGAGCATTTGTTGCTTGTGTTTGAATTTTCTTCCAAAATCCGCCCGTAGGAGGACTCACCCGCCCCAAAGGTAGGCAGAGGGGGGACGCAGCGGCCTGAAGTGCTTGATATCTCGACGATGCACCGACGATATGTCGCCGCGCCGCTTGCTCCGACGCGCGGCCTGTCCCGTCTCGGGGAGGGCGCGCCGCGGGCACAGAGGGGCAGACGCCGCCTCGGGCGCGGTGGGTTTGCCGTGGGGCGTGCCGCGGTGCCGGCGCCGTTTGCTGGGGCGCGGGACGCAGGGTTTGCCGTGGGTGAGCGTGCTGTCGGCTTCGTCCATCTGGGACGCATCGAGAACAAGTGCCGCAGCGACATATATCAGGGCGACGTATCCACTCTTGAAGGACGGTACGTGGGGCGGTCTGCGGCGCCGATGCGTCGACGATACACTGGCGAAGTATGTATCGGCCATTCGAGGTCGGTGCGTCGCTGCGTCCCCCCGCCTGCGTGTCCCCCTTGGCGCTGCCCCTCATCAGCGCTTCTGGTGCAGCTTCTTCTGGAAAGCTGGCCCGGTCTCCGGCCCCCACCCGCACAGGTAATGGAGGTTGGCGGCGCGCACAGAGGGGTGGCGCGAGGGGGACGGCCTTCTACAGGGGGGGGGTGGGGGGCTGAAAAGGCAGGGGGGCTTCTCAGAGGGGAGGCGCCTCCTTGGGAGGGCCCCCCTCGGTCTCGAAGGTGACTTCCCAGAATCTGGGAGACCTACGAAGAAGCCCCTGGCCTTCTCAAAGTCCCCTGTGCTCTCGCCCGGCCGCCCCCCTCGCGCGCCACCCCCTTGTGCGCGTCGCTACGGGGGCGCACGCGCATGGACGGCTCGGCGTCTGCCTCAGGCTTCATCAAGAAGCAGGCGGAGGACTCTTGGGCGAATCGTGTCTCCATCCAGGTTCCTGCTGTACTGCGGAACTGACGGGGTGTTGAGCGTCTTCCCTCTTGCGCCCAGGCTTTCGAACGAGAGCCAGAGGTCAAGGACTCCACGACGAGTATTCCGGCTTTGGGGGCAGCTCCGACAGGCCCGAGAATTTCTGGCAGCCTTCTCCGTGCGTAGCACCTAAAGGTTACGTGCGCAGATGCTTACTTGCTAAACGATGCGCAGCTGAGCAAGCGGAGGATGGTGGCGTTGGCCCTTGGTTCCGTCTTGCAGCGCTTGTGGCAAATTTCACGGAGTGCGCCGAACGGATTTGCCCAGCCGTATGGTCTTCGCCCAGCGGAACTTTTGCGATCCTGCCGCGCGCGCACACGTGCTTTCACAGAATTCTCTTCCGTTGCATGTATTGTTGAGCCGTTGCAGCTTCAACGGCCCAGGTAGCCCTCGTCGCAGGAGGTCAGCACTCGATGTGTGATGTGACGGAACGAGGGGGAGGACGTGGTGGAGGAGGAGGAGGAGGAGGAGGAGAAGCGGTAGCGGAGGGACGGGGTTTCGTTGTTGCTCGTTTGTCGGCGAAGTTCCGATGACGGCAGGCCAGAACGCAGGCTGGATGCATTTGTCTTGAGCGCCTGGGCACTCGGAGCAGCACGCACTGATGGCGAGGTCGTCAAGCTTCGGGATAACCCACGGCGCAGAGTATGTAGCGCGCGCCGTGTTCATTGCGTGACGATTTGGGGATCACCCGACAGGCCAATTGCGGCATGAGAACGCCAGGAGAAGCGCGACATCAATGCTGCTCGTGCGAGGAGAATGAATGCCGGTGGCGCTTGCTCAGCTGAAGCGAGCGCTCACTCCTCCGCCGACCCCGCGAAGCCTGTGGCCCGCGCGCGCGTATGCGCCGGCGCCCAGCCCAGCACGCAAATCTGTTCATACGGGCTCGGCCGCTGCCTGGCGGCCTGAGCGCTGCTCCTGCCTTAGCCCTAAGTCGGGCATGTCCCCCTACAGGCGGATTCTGGACGAAAAATCAACAATATTCGAGAAATGAACAAAAAGAGTTTTGACAAAATTATAAAATCGTCCCCGTATGTTTTCTGCCTATGTTTGAACTCTTCCTGTAGAAAGGGCATGCCCGACTTAACGTCAGCCTTGCCATGGCCTGGGCGCTCCGTGACAGCGACCGCCCAGACGCGTACTCCTCGAGAGCTTCTGCTCCTGCTCTAGGGCGGCGAGCGAGGGGGCGGGATTAAAAGGAGAAGACTTCAGTCGGGCATGTCCCTCTACAGGGGGGAGTCTTCAAGAATAGTTCAAAAATGGTCTTGGAATGATGTTGTTGACTATGTTCGGCTACTCTGGGGCCTTTTTTTGTGGCTACCTTCAATCTGTCGTCCAAAATCCGCCTGCAGGAGGACATGCCCGACCTAAGAGAAGGCGTTCCCAGAAGGCAGTGGGACTTCTCGGAAGCCCTCGAGCCTTCCGAGAAGTTGTTGTTTGTCTTCGGGGAGGGCTTAGAAGACTTCTCAGAAGGACGGGGGACTCCCGAGCCTTCTGAGAAGGCCTTCTCCTTCTCAGTTCCCCCCCTCGCTCGCCGTCGACCTGCTCCTCACCCTCGCCCGGCGCGTCGCCCCCCAGATCCTCGGAGGTCAGTTCTTCCAAGAGCACCTGCGTGAACTGGGCAGCAGCGGCTGTGCCCCTCCACCTCCGCCTCCGCCACCTTGCGTAACAGGAGGAGGAGCAGCAGGAGGAGCAGGAGGAGGAGCAGGAGGAGCAGGAGGAGCAGGAGGAGCAGGAGGAGGAAGAGGAGGAGGAGGAGGAGGAGGGTCGAGCTTGCTTCCCGCTGAGAGAAACAGGGGGGAGAGGATCGAAGTTGAAGACTCTTCGACGTTACATCTCGCCCTCTTCCTCCCCTGCTCATCCGAGGGATCCTGTGTGGACTGGGCTGGCATTCGCGGCTGTGCCCGCGTCACCAGCAGATCCCGGCAGCAAGGCTTGCACATTCGCGGGCAAGACTTTGGAGGGGACAGGCGGTGGAGGCCAGAGCGGACGAGTACGAAGAGGAAACATAGGAAAAGCATCGAAGAATCGGGAATCGCATATACATCACCTCTCGGACATCCGCGCGGATTCCTTGGATCTGCGTTGGAGCCCCTGGAAGCGCCTTTGGCGCCGCCCCTGGCGAGCTCCATGCGCCAGGGAGGGAGGTCCAGCTCCGATCCCAACGTCCGCGCGGACCTTCAAAGGTTTCTGCTTACGTCGCTATGTCGTTCTTCTCTAGAGCAGCGGCAGCAGCAGCACCACCACCACCAGGAGGAGGAAGAGGCGTATGGAGACTAGAGGGAAGAAGGATTGAGGATGAGAAACGGGAGGAGTGGCAGCAGTAGCGTGAGGAGGAGGAGCAGCAGCAGCGGCAGGAGCGTTAGCAGCAGCAGCAGCAGCACGAGGGGAGAGCAGCAGAAAGCGGAGGGAGAGCAGCAGCAGCAGCAGCAGCAGCAGCAGCAGCACGAGGGGAGAAGACGAGGAGCAGGAGGAGGAGGAGGAGGCGGAGGAGGAGGAGCAGCAGCAGCAGCAGTAAGGGGAGGAGTTGCAGCAGCATGAGGCTCGACGAGCAGCTGCAGGAGCCAGAGGAGGAGCAGCACCAGCACGAGCGGGGAGGAGGAGGAGGAGGCGGAGGAGGAAGAAGGAGGAGGAGGAGGAGGAAGATGAGGAGGAGGAAAAGAGGAGGAAGATGAGGAGGAGGAGGAGGAGGAGGAAGAGCACGAGGAGTTGGAGTTGGAGTTGGAGTCCCTGGACAAAATCCGACCAACGCGTATTGGCACCTCTTCTGGGCTGCACGGGCTAATTCAGCTTTGCTATATGGTTTGGGCCATTGCCCCATAGCAATAAAACTGAGATATTCTCTCCTGGTGGGTGTGGGTCGAGGAACGCAGACATTCCCAAAGCCGAGGAGTTGCACAGAACCAACTCACTAACACATCGTGATACCCCACGCAGTGGGATGGGCCACGGAACCTGCCAGCGAGGTGAACGGTGGCCCCGTCAGGAAGTGCAAGGATGGAGCTGTGTAACGCCACGAGCCTGAAACACGGAGACTGACGCCACACCTTGACACGGGCAGCCGACGCAGACCCACGACACCGCAGGCACCGTCGACCACACTCTGACCAGGCGTGGGGACGCTTCAAAGGCAGAAGTACTATCACGGCTGGGAGGCGGTGACGGGGGAGGGGGGGCAACAGCATCACCAGGCTCGCCATCATTCACTCCTCCATTGGCTTCCCGAGTTCCTCGCCTCGGGTGCCGCCTCCCGCTCTGGAGGCTCGGCTGCAGCAGCTGCTTCTCGCCCTCCAGGGAGCCGAGGTCCGTCCGCAGGCTCCGCATGCGGATGAGGTATACAGTACACGATATTTCTCCCAGATATTGGCACGGATACCTTCGGGTACTATCGCAAGTGTTGCACCTTCAGCTGCCAAGACATTTGCAGCTGTGTTGCCGAACGTCATCCACGAAGACCCCGTCTGGGGGGCAACCCTATCTCCGTCCTCCAAGTAGGAATGCGTGAACAAAACTGTGACATGTTCAGGTCTCCTGCTGCCATCACGGAATAACAGACCGATCTTCGCCCACAATTCAGCGTGCTCTCTTGTTGGCCGAAGATACTGTTGGTCCACCAACCGTCGAATACCACCTATAGTCCGTCACACACGTAAGATACTGCGTCGTCATCCGCAAGGCAACCCACAAAATGGAATGCTTGACCAAATACGTCCCATCATTGAGATGGGCCCACAGACCCGATCACCTTTTGCCTTCTTGGGTAACAACTTACCTATCACCAAGTGGGTTTGGCGAGGCCAGGTGAGAGTGGCCTCGAAAACGTTCATCAACGCCGCGAGCTCCTCCAAGCCCACCAGAGGGAAACGCCCCACGTCCAGCGGGGCGAGGCGGTCCGCGTCGAGGCCCACATCACCTCTCATACGATGAGCAGCCTGACGGACTTGGTCGGCAGCGATTGGCTCCAAAGGTTCGCCACGCGCAGCCTGTTGCGAATGCCTCCTGGAGCCTCTCCCCCTGCGCCCGCCCAGCATACCCGACTTGGTCATCCAGCAAAACATTGGCGACACGAGGGACGGATGGGTTCGAGGAACACCCTCCGCCCCGCTCTGATTCTGCGGCAAAACATGGACGGGCCCAAGGGCCCGGCCCTCCAGCAAAACCTCGGCGACGCGTCAGGTGGCGGGGTTCGAGGAGCTCCCTCCATCTCGCTCTGACCTCGCGGCAGAACGCGGCAAGCGTTCCTGGCCCGATTGCGAATCCTTGGCGACGCGAGGTCGGGATGGGCCCCGGGAGCGCCCTGCCAAGGTCCATGGCCCCTTCCACTGCTCGGCTTTCAGATCCAAGACACACCCAGGGTGCACCAAGATGGACGTGCCGCGCCAAACCTCTTGAGAATGAAGAGGATCTCCACGCATACTATTGCGCAGCGTTCCCAAGGCTTCTCGAGATGTCATCCATGAACGAAATTCACCCTACGAATCACGCACAGCACGTCGTAAAGCTCCCTGACAAAGTTTATATGCCGGCTGCTGAAATCTGGCGGCCATCATTCCACGTGCATCTTCCAAATTCGGGGGCAAACAGTTCCACGCATCAATAACTGCATCCTTCTGACCCAGCGGAATTTTGCGAGGTCCATCGGGCCTGTTGGACGCAAGATGCTCGGCTGCTTGTTGCAACGGACTCAACTGCGCACGAACGTTCCCACGACCCTTACGGCGCTCGAACTGCAAAAGGATGGACGCTGCAGGTTTCCACCAACAGGCAACCTGATCGAGTAAAGGGGCAGCTCGAGACCCACTGCTTTGCTTGACCGATTCTTCCATGAACGAACATCCGTCGCCCCTCCGTAGGTCTCCAGGTGGTGCGACCTGATGGCGGGCATAGATGACGCCCTCGACAGTTCTGACCCACTATGAGCACCATGAGCTCACAAAATGGGCATGGCCAGTATTGAGCCGAAAGGCTACTGAGGAACAGAATTGCGGGGGAGGGGGGGAGGGGGGGGGGAGCAGCACGACGCGCGTCCTGGGTTCTGCGTTGGCCCCGGGCCTCTTCTGGGATAAAGAAACTCGGCTCAACCTTCTCGTTCGGCACTTCTCAGGGTTCAGTCTTCAGTCTCAACCTGTGTCGCCGATTCACAACTAATGGCTGGGGGACCTCCGCGTTGCTGGCGCAACTGCAGGACTGCCGGCTACCAGGCAAAGCCGCGTGGCCCACACACCCCACGACAGCGACTGGGACAGAGGCATTCGATTTTACAACAGGCTCGGCAGGACCGCCGAAGTTGGGCTCGCTGGCCCAGTGACCCTCTTCGTCTTCGCCAAAATCGAAGGGGGGGCCCTCTCGCCAGGAGCGTCGGTTTTCTCGTCCCGGGAAGGGGCCACGCACAGAAACAGAAACAGAAACCTGCGCCGAATCCAGGCTGCCCCCAAAGAGACTCAGACATTGTTCCGAGCGTTTTTCCTCAGCAAGGGCCCCCATCGACCACCAATTGCCCCTTGGCTCTGGAGGTCTTGGGCCCAGGGGCGGCGTTCTGGACGGGGCGGGAAACTTGCGGCAGGCGCCCCGCACACTCCAGACGGCGCGTCAGGAGTTGAAGACCTGACGAGCGAAGCGTGAGAGCAAGCCCAATACGCGGCCGCCATGGCACATCCTGAACAGGCTCCAGTTTGACGAGATATGGCAAGGCAGCCTCAGAGACTACGGCGCCGTCAGTCAGGCTTTCCTTGTACCCAGAGTCGCACGTGCACTCCACGCCTGGTAGCACGATTCGGCAGTGGACTTGCTGAAGAGATCCGCCGCGAGAGAGAACGCATGGTTCCATGTCCAATCGCCCAAGCATGTCCGAGGAAGTTGAAGAGCGGCCAGTAGCCCTCCCACCCTGCGCAGCCTGGATACAGTCTTGCCCGCCATGCTAATAGACGAAAATCAAGAGACAATCAGGAGCACGAGAAAAGTCTTTGAAGCGCAGCACCGACGCGGTGAGCCCGCCCAGCGCCTCGCACCCCTCGGACTTGAGCGCCCCCGTCATCTTGGTCGCGGCGAGAGGCTCGACCTTAAGATGACCGCCGAGCGAGAAGCCACTATCCACTTTCGCTGGCGCGATCGGCTCGCGCCTGACCGCCTCGGCGAGAAGGCCTAGCGGCATTCGAAATCGCCCTGGGCTTCTTCTGTCGAGCTTTGCTTCCCCACGCGCGCGCAACTGATTCGCCCCAACGCGAGTCTCGGCACGCCCCAGGATGTGGAACTTGGCTGACAGATCTCAAGTATGCGCCCCTACACGAGCGCCCATGGCCGTGATACTCGCAAGGAAAATGTCGAAGACGGACTCGGACTGGTCGGAGTCGGAATCCATGGACAAAATTGGCGCCTGCACCTGCGCCTCGCCGCGGAGCTGCCCGCCGGGCGCAGCCACAGGCGCTGACTGTCAAGCAGGGGCGGACGGCGAGGCGCTGTCCGCCGCGGCCCCGTCGCCCTCGCCCCTGGCCTCGGCCGCTGCCGCCGCCTCCGCCGCCGCGCACTTGGCCGCCGAGATCTCGGCTGCCTCGGCGCGCGCCGCCTCCCGGGCCGCGGCCTCGGCGGCCCGGGCCTCGGCTGGCGGGGGCCCCCCGCCGCCGTTGCTGCCGCCGCCGGCCGCCGCGCCGCCGCCCTCGGAGGGGCCCGCCGGCTGGACCTCGGGCCCCGCCCCCCCGCGGGCGACGCCCTCGGCGCCGTCGACCCCCCTCTTCACGGCCGCCAGCCTCGAAGCGATGGCGCCCTTCACCTTCGCCGCTCTGTCGAGCCGAGACTTCGCCTCGGCATCCTTGTTCTCAAGACTCCTTCTCACCCGAACTAACGTAGCATGGGTGGGCCTGAGCTCCTCTTTCTCGGACTCCTCGCCATCTAAGTCACTGATGTCCTCGAAGATCGCTTGATCCCGAGAAAGAGTAAGCGCCTCCTCATTGGGCTTGGACTCCAGGGCTGCCGTGGAGCACTGGTCCGAGCCCAAACCCCCAGCACGGGCGAGCACTTCTGGTGCTTTTTTCTTAGCAATCTTTGCTGCTGCCAGGGTCTCCGCCGCCGCCCCCCCGGCCTCCGCAGCGGCCAGAACCGTGCGCCAACGACGGAAGTTGGATAACATCTGGTCTCGCTTATGATTGCAATCCCTCCAGTGGCCCTCCGCGCGCCCGCGGCTGTCGGCGGCCGAAATGGGGGTCGCGGACTGGGCAGGGGACTTTTTCCAGAGCTCGATACGATTCTTTCAACAGCGCCTTGAGCTCCTGATCCTCTGTGCCCTTCATGGCCTCCATCAGGTGGTCGGTCACGGTGGTGGCCGTCTCCCACGGAGGCCTGGGGGGCTGCTGGGGTCCGCTGCTCTCCGTCTCGATGCCCCACACCTCGGCCTCGTCCGCGAACGAGACTCTGCCTGGTGACTGCGATCGAGAACGACTCTTCTTACCCCCTTGAGAACGAAAAGGACCACGTCGCGCTGGCACTTGCAGTACTTGCCGCCCGATCTGGTGGGGGTATCGTTCCATTCGCACTTCCCGCACTGACAGCGACTCCACAACCGCTGGCCCTCTGGGAGGAGCCCGACATGGCGGACGGGACAGACTTGGGTCTGACACTCTCGCTTTGGTCACAGATGATTGGCCCTCTCTGTAGGACTTTGTTCTGCGTGCCTGAAGCGCTCCGAGCAATCACGAGAGTCGGCACAAGCAAAATGCTCGGGCCTAAGTGGTTTGAGTGGAGGAGCAGGAGGAGGACGAGGAGGAACAGGAGGAGGAGGAGGAGGGGCCCAAACTCCGTGGCCGGCCCGGACCATGCTCAGGGCGCGCGCTGGCGTCAGACAGATAAGCCCCGGCGCCAGCAGGGGCCCAAGCTCGGGCCCCGCGCAGGGGAGGGGGGGGAGCGGGCGATAAATGAGGATAGGAGGGGGGAAGTGAGGCACACCTCACGGGCCTGGAAGGGTCCCCCTGGGCCCCAGCCGGGGCACGAAACGGGGCGCGTTTCTTCGCCCCCCCCCCCCCCCCCGCCCCCCTCGCATGTCGCCCCCCGTTGGGCAGCGTCCAGCAGGCTCCCCCTTGGGCCTCAGGGCCCCTTGCGGCCGAGCGGCGCGCGGCCATGCCCGAGGCGCTTGCGGGGAATGGGACAGCAGCAGCTGAGGGACGAGGACCCGAGACCCAGGGCGCCCCAGAGCCCCACTGGACCTCGCGCGCGATCTAAGCTTCCAAGAGCCGCCATCTATCTTCCCCATCCTCCTGACACCTCTTCCATCCTCCATTTCTCCTCGCACAGTGGGGGAGGAAGAAGAACACGGCGGCGGCGACACGCGCGCATGAATTCCCTCCCCTCATTTCAAGGGCCGGCCAGCGGAGCTGCCAGCGCGCACCCTGGGGATCTCGCACGGCGCCATTTTGTGCGCACCCGCTTCCCGAGCCGCGCTGCGACATTCCTCGCTTCCTCGTCCCCCCGCGGGAAGAAGGACGAGGATGGCGGGGAGAGGGGCGGGGGACAGGGATGGACGGGAGGAGGGTCCCAGCTGGTTTTGAAGGGGCTCCTCCCTCTCTCCCCCTCCTGCCTCTATTGATGTTCCTCCTCCTCCTCCTTTTCCTCCTCCTCCTCCTCCTCCTCCTCCTCCTCCTCCTCCTCCTCCTCCTCCTCCTCCTCCTCCTCCTCCTCCTCCTCAACCTCCTCCACCCACCTCCTCCTCCTCCTCCTCCTCCTCCTCCTCCTCCTCCTCCTCCTCCTCCTCCTCCTCCTCCTCCTCCTCCTCCTCCTCCTCCTCATTTTGGCTCAAGCGATCGCATTGGCCGCCGCCGTCCGCCCCGCGCGATGGTTCGGCCTAGAGGGGCCCCCTCGGCTGCGGTGGACGGCGTCGCCCTGCTGGCGGCCGCCGTCCGCGCCGCTGTGGAGGCGAAGGCGCCGCGCCGCACTGTGGCGGCGGTGGCTGGCGCTGTGGCGGCGGTCGCGCTCCGTGCGCGGACCGCGCCACCCGCGCCGCCGCCCGCCGCTGGTGCTGCGCGCGCCGAGGATGCGGATGCGCCCCCGCGCAGCTCCGCCGCGAAGGTCGAGCGCCGCCGACGCCGCCGCCAGCGCCTTGCGGCGCGGCGGGCGGCGGAGCGCGGCGGGGCGGCCAACGCGGCCGACGCTGGGCGTGGAGGCGCTGCTGACGGTGCCGCCGCCGCTGCTGGCCTCGAGCTCGTGCAGCTCCCCATGGTCGTCGACGTCGTCGACGACGAGTGGGCTGACGAGCTGCCGCCGCGCCGTGCGCGGAGGCAGCTGCGGCGCACCGACACGGTGGCGGCGGAGGACCCGCGTCCTCCTGCCGCCGCCGTGGCCGCTGCGGCGGCGGGCTGCGGCAGCGCGGCGGGCATGCAGGCGTTCCTCGAGGAGGCCTTCGCCGCGGGCGTGTCCCCCGCCGACGCCGCGGCCCTGGTTGCTGGGGGCCTCCTTCCGCGTGATGGTCCACGCGGTAGTGGTCCGGGGCCCGGGGCGGCCGGCCGCGGGAGGAGCAGCGGGGGGGGGCGGTAGGGGCCTCGCCGCTACGCGTGCAGGGCCCTCGCCCCTTCCCCCTCCCGCGGACATCGTGGTGCTCGTCGGCATGGTCGTGCTCGTCATCACGGTTGGGGGTCCTGCCCCGTCAGGACCCCCGTGCGCCCGCGCGCGCGGGCGCGCGCGCGGGCTTCGGGGGAGGCGGCACCGTCTCCTCTTTGGCTCGTTGATCCTCCTCCTCCTCCTCCTCCTCCTCCTCCTCCTCCTCCTCCTCCCCTCCTCCTCCTCCTCCTCCTCCTACTCCTACTCCTACTCCTATCCTTATTCCTTATTAGAATATACTCCTACTCCCCCCTCAGGCCGGCAGATAGGGGCCCATCCGGGTGGTCCCATCCTAACCTGTAAAAAACAATACAAAATCAACATGTTTTTATTTTTTCCTCTCGACATGGACGTCCTGTCGTCCACGGCGATAATCCATTGCAAAAAATACCACAAAGAGCACACGCGCGCGTTCATGTCAGAATCCTACCGAACACCGTGTGTTTGCAAGCATTTCAACATAAAAACATCAAAAACCCAATGCTTTTTCACAAAAATTGTACAAATTTCCCGCCCGGGCTCTCTTGCTGAAATCATAGGAAAACCATAGGAATCTTAAGAATTCTGTCAAATCCAGCGATTTCACGTCATCGCGCGGTGCACTCGCGATGCTCTGTCATGCACCCAGGCCGCGAATCCTGTGCAAAAAATACCACAAAGAGCACACTCGCGCGTTCATGTCAGAATCCTACCGAACACCGTGTGTTTGCAAGCATTTCAACATAAAAACATCAAAAACCCAATGCTTTTTCACAAAAATGCTTTGGGGTGTCCTGTCAGACCGTCGGGCTTCCTCCGGCCACCTCTGGCTTCCTGCGGTGTACCGGGCCATTCTCGACTCGTCTGGCAATGCGTGCGCGGCATTCAACACGCGCTCGCCAGTTCCCGTCGGCAACCGCCATCGCGGCCGCATCAGCTGTACCAAACCGGCTGGCCGGTGTGACTTCGGCCCCCAGTTGTGCCAGCTTTGCTTCTTATGTTGTGGGAGGGCGGGTGGGACTGGGCATGCCATGCTTGACTCGCTCGAGCTGGCTAGCTTGACTCCTACTCCTACTCCTACTCCTACTCCTACTCCTCTCCTCCTCCTCCTCCTCCTCCTCCTCCTCCTCCTCCTCCTCCTCCTCCTCCTCCTCCTCCTCCTCCTCCTCTCCTCCTCCTCCTCCCTCCTCCTCCTCCTCCTCCTCCTCCTCCTCCTCCTCCTCCTCCTCCTCCTCCTCCTCCTCCTCGACTCGCCAGTCGCGGGGATGGCGCCCCCACTGGCTCTCTGGGGGCCGCCCAGAGGGGGACCGTCCACGGTCCAGTGCGCCCTGGGCCAGCCTCGTCTTGAGGCAGGCCCTGGGGTGCGACGCGGGCCGAAGGCTGCCCGCGCCCTCTGTGGGGGAGCAGTGAGCAGGAGGAGGGGAGCAGCAGGGGCGGCCTGGGGGGAAGGGAGAGGGGCCGGGGGGCGGGGGCCGTCGCAGTGGGCGGGCGGGCGGGCAGCCAGGGTGGCCGCGGAAGCCGTGGTCGTGGTGGCCGAGCTGGTAGTGGTCGAGCTGCTGGTCGTCGTGGTGGTCGTGGTGGCCGTGGTGGTCGTGGTTTTAGCGCTGACGGCCGGCCTGGTGGTGGCCGTGGTGCTCGCGGTGATCGTGGTGGTCATTGGTGGTCGTGGTGGTCGTGGTGGTCGTGGTGGTCGTGGCCGTGGCGGTCCAGGCGGCCCAGCTGGTGGTGGTCGTGGTGGTCGTGGTGGTCGTGGTGGCCGTGGTGGCCGTGGTGGCCGTGGTGGTCGTAGTGCTGGTGGGGCCTCCTCCTCCTCCTCCTCCTCCTCCTCCTTCTCCTCTTCCTCCTCATCATCAGCAGCAGCATCCTCATCATCCTCATCATCCTCATCATCCTCATCATCATCCTCATCATCCTCATCCTCATCCTCAGCAGCAGCATCAGCAGCATCAGCATCATCAGCATCATCAGCATCATCATCAGCATCATCTGCATCAGCAGCATCATCTGCATCATCATCATCATCAGCATCATCATCATCATCATCATCATCAGCAGCAGCAGCAGCAGCAGCAGCATCAGTATAATCACCACCATCATCATCAGCAGCATCATCATGTTCATCATCCTCATCATCATCCTCATCCACTCCTGTCCTCATCCTCCTCCTCCCCCTCCTTCTCCTCATCTTGCCCTCCTCCCCCATCCTCTGTCTCTCATCCTCCTCCCCGTCCCCATCCACATCCCCCCCCTTTCATCATCCTCCTCCCCCCCCCTCTACACCCTCTTGCCAGTCCTATTGCCATGCTGTGCGAACAGCACACTGGGGAGGGGTGGCCGTGCTCAAGGATTGGTCCGACATGATCAGTCCGAACAGCTGAGCTCAAGTGGACACAGGGCCGGGACGCCCGCTGGCCTGTGCTGCGGGGTCATCAGGGGCCCAGGCTGCAGGCGGGGTTCAGCTAGGCAACGCCACAGAGGCCAGGGTGCGACCGCGGCGCCGACGGGTGGGCCAGCCGCCTCGCCGCGCCCGCCAGCTTGGAATATTGAGGAGGGAAGCGGGGTCAGCCCCGGCGTCGTGGACCGACCCCCTGGCCCTCGCCATGGCCGCCGCGAGGCCCTGGGAATCTGCAGCGCGCAATTCGCGCGCGCCGAAGGCACTTTGGAAGTACCTTCGGCGCACCGCAGACCCCCGACAAAATGATCAGTGTTCCTGTGCTCCGCCGAGTCGCAGAGGCAGCCGTGGAAGGCCAGGGAGCTCCAGCGGCCCCGGCGCTCTGGGTGGCGCCTGCCGCTGTGGGCAGGCGGCCCCCCCAGCTGCGCAGCGGGCGCAGCCTGCAGCACCATGGTGGCAGGGCCCGCCGCGGCCCGGCCGAGTGCAGCACCTTGCTTTGAACGGCACGATCGTGAGCATCATGATGGAGTCCATCAGGACGAACGTGAGCAGCAGGACCCGCGTGGTGTGGCCACGCGGGGGCCGCCAGGCCCGCCTCGGCGCGGCGCCGAGGCGGCCGGAGGGGCCGCGGATCGACCCAAAAGCAAGCGACACCGCCCATGCGGACCCGCGCGGTGGGGTGCTCAGCACGAGAGGGGGGGGGGCATCGGCCCCACGGCTGCGCTACGGCGAGCACGAGAGGGGGCTCGGTTGAGCCTACGGCCTTCAATGGGGCGCTACGGCCCACAGTTGGGGCCGCGGACCCCCACATGCGCACCCGCAACTGCCATCGTGCAGCACACTTTGGGCCGCGGGCCCGCGCCGCCGCCAGCTCAAACGGGCAACCTCCGGAGACCGGAGGTGCCCTCGTTTGGAGCTCTTTGAGCCCGACACCACCCCGCCTGCGGCCCCCGACACCACGCGAAAACCCACGCCAGCTCTGCTGGCATACGCTAAGCCCCGCGGGGCCGCAGGTTGGGTGGCGCCGCTGGTTTTCCGGCCTAGCAGGCGCGCCGGCCCGCCACGGGCCCCCGCCCCCCCGGTGGGGCTGCGCCCAGGCGCGCGCCACGTGCTCGTGCGCCGCCGTCTCTGCGATGGCCCAGGCGCCGTTGGAGCCGCCCACGCGGCGAGCAGCGCCGCGCCCTGGCGACTGGAAAGCCGCCCATCCTTCGAGGTGGAGCGATCCCCGCGGTGTCCGAAGCCAATCCGGGGTCGTCACGACACGGTTTTGCCGTAGCTGCGCTGCCTTTTCAGAGGGCCGCCGCCGCCGCCGCCCCCTCCCCGCACCTGCTCCGAGAGCGGGGGGGGCCGCCCACCGCTCGAAGAACCGGCACGGAGCGGATCGCGGCTGAGACGCTGCCCCCCGGCCAGGCTGCCGTTGCCCCCGCCCGAGGCCTTCGGCGGGCAGCAGGGCCTCTCGGTGGTGCCTCCAAGCGGCTCGTCGGAGGGCCCACCAGTGGGCCTCGGAAGGCATCGGGCGCGTGGACAGCAGCGGGTTTTCGGATGGCTTCCGGGAGAGGTTTGTTGCTGTCGGGTGCTTTCCAGGGCGCCTCGCAGCGGGGCGGGCCTGCGCCCCGCCTGTCCCTTGGCGCGCCCGCCCGCGGGCGAAGCGTCT